CATGGCTCCGGCCATCGCGTGTTTCAGGAAGTTTGATGGGATCAGATCATATCGAATGCGCGGGAGAAGGGTGGCGCGGTGACGCAGGTGTCAAGGTGCTCGATTCTTCTCAAGATGGTCATTGTGAGTCGGGTTCTATTGTTTGTCGTTCAGGCGGTGCTCCTTGTATCTATAGCTTCCAAGTCTCCAGTGGGCGTTCTTCTTTGTTGAATCTCCAGTCAAAGTTTGCTAGCAAGATTATCATTGTTAGATGGATCATGGATCCACAAGATGATCATTGTCTTGAAAGCCTTCAAGTTCATTATGCGACGTGGCTTCCGGCACTCCATACATGTATTTGTGCCAAGGATATGTGTAGATTGCAGTGCTTACAGTCCAGGGCTTGCTTGAAGATCTTTCAGAGCAGTGACTGTAAGGATGTTTGCTCTTTCCAGACCAATACTATGAAAGGATGTGAATGGATCTGATAGGTTGTAGTTTGTTTTGTCTTCACAGATGTTCATCGAGGGCAATCCTTGGGCATTCACCGAGGTAATCAGATGGATGTGGCCAAATGTGCGAAGGTATTCATGGGGTCAATGAGTCAATGATGTGACCTTTTTTTGTTTATTCTTCAGTGGTTGAACATGACTAGCTGACTAGCTGCTACTAGCCAGGACCTGAACTCGACTCTGGAGAAGAACAGCATGATAGCCTTCTCGGATTATTTTATATTAGGAGTTTGGCTTCGAGACCGAGAATGCTTTTGTCGTTCAGTGTGGAATAGGACGGAGGACGGTCCAGGTTTGTTCAGTACTGCCTTTAACGGCCTTCAAGAGGTATGTTGATGACCTGGAGTGTTTTGGCAGAACGTGGTGGTGCAACAAAAATTTATATAGATGTTTCCTCTTCCTAGACCGCCCCCGCAACTTAAAGAGGGAGACGAAGGCATGCGTGGGTGTTGAAGAGAGCTACAACGTGACAGTGTTGACTTTTTGTCAGGCGACCCTTTGTTCTACCAGGAGTCTTCATGAGACAGAGAAAGAAGTGAGCATGGCTGCGGCCATCGCGTGGTTCAGCAAGTATACAACGCGGTATGACACAGGACTGTGGGCAGTTGGCAACTCGCATTGTGTGGAAGTAGAGTTCCTTGTAGGTTGAGGTTGTGGAAGCCACACCGCATCAAACCGCCTACAGCAAGTCGAAGGTGCGGATTCTGGAGATTTCTGGAACTCGCTTCCATATGGTTCCATTACTTCTCCGCGTGCCCTCCATGTGTCCATACTTCCTGAGGAAAGTTCTGTGGGCCTCCAAACCCAAAAGATCGTGGTCATGAAGGGATTGTTATTTGGTATCACACCTTGGGCCTACACCTCATAGGGGTCATTGGCATGCTGGGAGAATGGGTGTTCCTGAGTCAAGTCTATGTCAATGATGCAGGCTGCAGGCACAACAACAAGGGCTGAGGAGCTTCTTTTGCAGAGGCTGTAAGACTCATGCTATGTGTAGCAGCTACTTGGGGCTTCAAGAAGGACATCGCGAAACCGTTTTGATCGGTGGCAACACGAACAGGATTCATTCGGAAGCAACACGAACGCGACCATCCCGACGGGTCTCCCGTGTGGGTGTCACTCCGTGTGGTGATGTGTCCCGTCACTCCGTTTGGACGACGGAGCTACGACATGACGATGACGACTCCTGTGGGATGTTGGACTTTACCAGGAGTATTCATTGGGAAAGAAGTGGGCAGGGCCCCAGAAGTGAACGTCGACGTGTTTCAGCCAGACTGGACTGTGGTGAAACCGGACTGTGGACAAGTAGCACGAAGGTGATAGTGTTGGGATTAAGGTCTTGTTGGAGTCCAACCCAACACATGATTTTGACATTCTTGGGATTTCCAGAGATGTTTGCATTGAGTGTATCGTGCGGTGTGGAGCTCCATGCTCCTACCATAGTCCATAGAGGTCTTCGGATTTAAGCTTCGCGAAGATTATGAGGAGCCATGCATGCGTTGTGGCTTTTTCCTCATGTACCACCCGGGGCAATGCAACGTGTTTCGCTTATATATCAAGTGGCCTCTACCGAGCCCTACATGCAGAACCTTGTCACATTGTGGTGCAACAGATAGGACAATTTGGGAAGATCACATGGTACACTAAACAAGTCCTTTTTCTTTTCTTAAGACCTTATCGGAGGACCAAGACGCGCGTAGATGTCAACAGAACTACGACGTGATTGTTACAACCTTGCTTTCCAGGTTGCCTTTTTCTTCTACCAGGAGACTTCATGGGACAGAAGTGAGCGTGGCTCCGGCCATCGCGTCTTTCAGGAAGTATGTTGAGACGGACGATGTGGTATATGTGAAGGTTCCCGATCAATCGCAATCTTTTGTTGGACTCGAACCGAGCAACGCATGGGCTGTAGGTGCCTAAGGTTTTGAGATGGACATTTCTGAAGATGGCAGGTTCTATTGCAAAATTTCAGTGTGGGGTTCCATGCTACTCCTATGTGATGATGGCGGCAGAGATCATGAAATGAAAGGTACATAAGGAACGGTGCTTGTGTTGTTCTTTTTCCAAAGGTATTTTGTCTTTCATGTATCATCCACGACAATTTGCAGGCATTCCAGGACAGAGGATGTCCGATCCTGTGTTTTTCGGTCACAGAAGTTCTTCGGGTTTGCAATAAGCAAAGCATAGACATGGCGACGCTGTTTGGTGTCAAAGGAATAATAAACGACATGGCAATACTAATGTATGAGGTCGTTGGCAACACGACCTCCTGTTTGTTGGTCATTTTGGGCATTCTTCGACGTGTCCTGTTCTTTTTGAAGTTTTTCTCTTCAAGAGAGGTCTTTTTATATCTCTTGATCACACGGAGCCAAGCCTATATGTCAAGAACAGGGTGGTCCAACAAATTCAAGAAATTGAAGACTACCCTTCTTGACTTTGTCTCATTTGGAACTTGAAGATCTTGAAGTCGGAGACCCAGGCATGTGTTGGTGTCATCAGAGCTACGACAGGATTGAGTTGCCTTTGCCTTCCGGGCATCATGCGATTACCTTTAATTTCTTCTACCAGGAACCTTCATCGGCAGAATCTTGACGAACGAATAAGCAGCTCTTACATTCTCTTACAGCATCCGGCGTTTACAAAGAACAGTTTGCTTGCTTCGCTTATTTGCAACACCCTCGCAGGAGCATGGTTTGGTGATGTTTGGTGATTTGTTATCCCTTGGCTGCTCCTCCGTGGGGATTTGTTCAGAGTGAAGGGGATGACCAACTCGCGGCTGCAGGTGGACCCTGAAGTAAAAAGAATCAGATTTGGTTTGCTGTTTGGTTTGTGCACCTCAGAAAACGATTTGGTGCTTTCAACTCCACCAGCCGACCAACTGCTCCAGTCGTTGGGGCGTCTCCGCTGCGGACCTCTCGCCGTCAGCGACGCCGGGAACGACGAACGAACACCGCGGATGCCGGGACGGAAGGGGTTCGTGGGACAACGGAGGCGGGTGAACATATACTATATAACCATGTGATCTTTAAGGGATATTGGCATTGGGGAAAATCCAGCGCGCATAAGAATTCGGACACGGGATAATCTCGGAAGGTCTCTCAAGCGTGTTTGTTCATCTCCGGCAGTGTTAAGAACAAACTCCTAATCACAAAGACATGCACCATTGTAAAACATACATCTTTGTTCAAAGAATAAACTCCTAATCACAAAGAAATGTTTATATAAAGTGAAAAAAACACACATATATATATATATTATATTATACCATTATTATATAATATACCTCGCAATATTGCAGTCAGACATGTAAGGAAACTGTTCTTCGGGAAACACTCATGTTTTATTAGAATTTGTTAGTCGTAAACGTATCTCAAAGATTTGAGGACCTGTTGATGAAATACATTTTGGAATGTCCAACACTTCGTTGGACGGTCCAACACGATAGCAACCTTGTGCATCCTTTTGCTTGGTTTAGTTTCCAATCGACCGACCCAGTGACGAGTAACATTAATAACGCATGAGTTCTTTGTTTCTTGCAATGTGTATTTGTTTCTTTACTTCTTTATTTGAGCTGTTGTGGACATCCACCATTTTAGATGTAGACAAAGATGAGTTGTGCTGCGCTTGTTTCCTGGAATGTTCAGCATGGCTCCACTCGGTTTCCAGGGTGATTGGGGCAAATGCTGAGGTCTAGAGTCGATAAGATTATTCTTCTTCAACACCATGATGTGAACCAAGCACACCCTGTCCGTTGACGTGACAAAGAGAACTTGATTGTGTTTGCGTTCAGTATCAGTTTGAAACAACGCATGTGCACTGCTTCCTCTCCGTCTTCCGGTTCAACATTTGCATCTTGGACTGGTTTGGTGGTTGACCAGGCTCATGAAAGTTTCATATGCTACAATATTCTACGTTCTGAATGCAGGAGCTGCGAGTCACTACTTGATGCAGGCTTCTTCTCATCACTCATGTTTGCATCCCCAGATACTGGTACCGCACGATTTGCACCTTCAGCACAGCATCTCATTGTGGGCCGGTTGTGCAACTACTGCAGGATGTGCATGGCATACATGTTGTATAGGATTAAAGATGTGTCAGGTATTGCAGCAAACCTTTGCATCTCGGACCTTTGAATCCAAAAGTCGTTCAATGACAGCTCAATGGTTCTGCGATCAGTCGATCAGTCGTCAGGAATGAGTCTAAGGACATGAAGGGGGCTACTGACTACTGCACTGACTGAATCTGATGCTGAAAAGATGTTGGATAAACAAAACGCAATGAACTTATTCTCAATGACACTGTATTGCCAATCATTGGCCTTTTAGCCTTTCTTGTAATTCTTGTATCTCAAGTTGTATCACTGGCTGTTCTTCCTTCATGCGAACCTGCTTCCTTCATCTGAAAGATTCTCAGGAACAGTACTTAGATACGGGCAAAAGGACCCTAGCAACTGGAGGGAGATCCTTGTTTTTGGCACTTGGCACCCCGACTTGGCCCGCATCTACCGCAACTTTTGGGGGTCAAGATGTTGGACTCAGCCATTTGTCAGGTTCAATTCCTTTCGGCTTATGTTTTCTCAACCAGGCAATGCCTGAGGCATGATTGGACGATATTGGACGCCCCAAAGAACCGGTGTTACACGCCCAGAAACGTCTCCCCCTCGCATGCCCAAGAAGCAACCGTTTGCAGAAGGTGTGGCCCTTCCAATTCACCACGTGGTGCCAACCACCGGACTGGCTGATGGGTCTCGCCACCAGCGTCCCGGAGTTCGTGAGCCCAGAGGAGCGGCTCCGGCCATCCAAACGGATCGATTTCCTCGAAGACTTCTCCAAGGTGCTCCAGACTGACCCCCCTCAGGGCTTTTCCGAAAGCAGCGCAGGCTTCGCGAAGGCTTCGCGACGGGTCAGGGCTGACGACTGGGGGCGGTTGGTGCTCGAGATCACCATGCGTTTTTGTTTGCCTCCTTTGGCGTCTCTCGCGAGTTGGTTGGGAGAACGTGCGTGTGATTCACTGCGATCTGTGTTTTCATGCGGCGTGTTTTTGCAACTGAAAATGCGGATGGCTTCGCCGGAGACACATTTGCCAACATGGATTTGGGTGTGTGCCAAAATATGGGTTCTGGTACCTGTACTGGGTGAGTCGATCAAGACAAACGAAATCAAATGATATATATATATAGAGCTTTTTGGGGGCATCACAGTTTCAAGTTCCAAACAGCTCTCAAAAATATCAAATCATTCTTCCCCTCATGTTCTCCACGGCACTTGACACTTGACACGTTCCGTTCTTTGCTGCCTGCATCCTTCCACCCCGGTGACGCCACTCGCGTCGCACCTCCACGGCTCCGGCCAGCAGTCCTCGGTCCGCGGTCGACGCCCCCGCACCGGGTCCGCCCGTCGCTGGGGGCGTCGACCGAAGATGCCACGGGTGTCGCGGCCGCAGCGGCCACCGGGCGCCGACGACGGCGACGCGCCCGGCGCGATGGCGACGCTGATGGACCTCGACCGATGTTGGGGGCGCGGGTGAAGACAAAGGAACCGGTCCACGGTCGCCTGGCCTGCGTGTAGATCAGCTTTATCCCGAACTCCACCCTCGGAGGTTGCTTGGCCAAAAAAAGAAAAACAGATAGGGGTCAGGATTGTCCTCTAACGAGACCCAAAGTATCCCAAAGTTAGACAAACAAATGTCATCAAATTTCAATCAAAGACCTGCCGAGCCGATCTGCTCCGTCGCTTCTTCGCGTCGGCGGGTCTCTGCCACGGAAGTCCTGTCCTGTCACAGGCCCGGCCCCACGGGTCGTGAAAATTGACTTTTGCATGAGCAAGATGCCACCAAGCCATGCCATTGAGCAAACAAAGACAGAACTGAACCTTGGGGCAAGGAATTGTATGTTTGATATTGTTTGATGTATTTGGAACGTGAGAAATACGTCTTCGGTCTTCGCGTTTGACCTCGGAGTCACCTTCGCCCGCGTGCCCTGACAGCATCCGCCGGTGCCCCGATGCTCACTTGGACGACGCGTTGACGGCGGATATGCTGTGGGCAGCCTGGAGGGTTCTGAAGGGCTTGGGGCACCTTGGATCGGGAGGCGGTTTTTCTGCTTAATTAGACCACAGCGGGTGTTGCACCCGAGGATCCTGAGAATCAGTCAGTCTCATGACCTCAAGGAGCGTCGATGTTGCTCTTGCTCATGCTGAACACACCATGACCTTTTTCCTCGAGCGGATTTGCACACCTGGGGTTTGACAAGATGAGTCGAACCTGGGCGAATTGTTTGGCAGACTCATCTCTTTGGCGGACTCATCTGAGATGAAGGTGGCATGAGGTGGCTGGGGATGTAATTTGGGTTCATGTAATGGTTTCAATTTGATCGAGTCTTTGTTTATGCGTTTATGTGACTTACTGTCAACTGTCAATATACACTTCTTCCATGAAGAATTGGCCTGGGAAGAGTCCACTGGCTCAGAGGCCATGAACCCATCCCCAGCCCTCCGTCGACCGGTCGAGTCCGACGGATCGGCCGTCACCGCCCAACGACTTCCCGTGGGGTTTCCTCTTCATCCTTCACTCGACTGCAGGTTCGGCTCGACTGCAGCCGTGTCTCAAACTCATGGCATCCCATGGCCCAGCGCATTTCCATGCATGTGATATTTGTGTTGGGGAGGGGGTGGTTTGAGTGGGGGTTTGGGGGAGGGTGTATAGACTGCCTTTGCACCGCCGGCTCCGAGGTCCAGATCCGGACGTCGGACGGGAAGACCGGAGCGTTCAATCCGTGAAAAAATCCGTGCATCGCGCACGGAATCCGTTTGTTTTTGTTGGGGGGAACACACATACTGTGATGTTGCTTCTCTACAGTGGGGAACTGTTTGCAATGATGTACATTTGATGGTAATTAAGTTTTTGGTAAGCTTTGCAACAGACTGACAACTGACAATATCTGAAGGCCGGTCGCTGCGGAGGAACATCCGAATTTCATGCTGCATGCTTGTGATGTTCGAACCCGTAGTCTTTGGTCCTTGGCACGGTGCTGTAGAAGACGAGATCCCCGATGTTCTCTGCACGGGCATTGGAGATATCAGGACGCGGCCTGGCAACTCTGTCATCACTTCCATGCCTCCAAATTCTGATTCCTTCTGGCTGCTCACAACATGTTCAGATCTGGCTGTGGGTCCAAACATGTCAAAAGGAGGGGAACATGGTTTTCCCCACCGAACATGAACCGAATAGACTGCTAGGGAGGTCAACCTACCAAAGACTAGGGGTCCGGGTTTGGGACCCAGCTGGGAGCCAGGTGTTTGACGTGTTGGACGGAATTGACATCTGGAGCCCTTCGTTTTGGTGGCGTTGCCTTTGCAGTCACATTATGTTACATTTATACATTTAAGGATTTTAAGGCTTAAACAACCCAGAAACAATCTGAGCCTGTTTGGCCCAAACAATGTCTGACACGACCTGGCACGTGCCTTTGGCAAGACAAGGACGAGCTTGAGCAGTTCTTGGTTGAGAAGCCTCAGTATTCTTGGACCGTTTGATGTGAGTAAATGTTGCAGTGCATTAACAACAGGAGATAAACCTGTCGTTGCGAAATATTTTTTGCCCTACAGTATTATATTGAAGATTTCAGCGTTTGATGTTTGGTCAAAAGACTGCTAAGTGTAGTAGAGCAGGACATGATGGGTATGCTTTCTGGAAGGCGGCAAAAGAATGTATTGGGTAATTCAACGCCATACTGACAAATTGGCACCACTGTCAGGTGAGGAACCATGCGCGTATGTGTTTCTAATCGCCTGCAGGTCATTTATTTCCAAACTACTTATTCTTGTATCCAGCGCTTGAGGGAGATTCATCGTGTTTGTATGTGTTTGTGGAGGATGGTTGATGAATTGATGTGCTGGTGGAAAAATGACCATCAGTGGAAGTATTTTTTGTGTATATATATGATATATGATTATATTATACTATCCCAACGTACGTTGGATAGTGAATACCGAGTTTGTTTGCTTTTTCTTCTACTTTGAGCCCCTGTTTCCTAGCCATGGCTCCGGCCAGCAGTGCTAGGCCCCTTCCACGGCGCGGCCTCCCCGGGAAACGGCGGTGCTGGTGAATTTCGCTGTGGTTTGGGTTCGGCTGTGAGTTCAAAATCGGTGTGTTTCTTTGGTGGTGCTTTTGTGCGGTTGTTTTGGTGTTGATTTCTTTTGCTCCTTTTTGACAGTCATGTGGCGGAGCAGCTCTTCGAGAAACCGGCGACTCCCGCAGCGGTTCGCTTCATATCTCGTCATGCTTCCAATTCTCGGAGGTTCAAGGGATCAGGCGAAATCCAGATGCAGAAGCAAATTAAACAACAAGGGAATCTATGGTATGGAAGGTCATCTACTCTAGAATCAGGTTTTGGCATGCTGAAGAATCTACTCTGATCTCTAAATCGACATCGACTGCCGCGGTTTGTTCCAACCAATTCTGCATGTTTGATCATGGCCGTGGCAGCCATCGGTCGTCGAGTAATTCGACTGGAGACATCTCATGGTAGTAAAACGTCATATTTGGCATTGGGCTGTGGTCCAGTGTCAGCTTCAAGTGTTGTTTTATGTGATTCCTCACGTTTTCCTCGTGTCCTTTCCTTTTGCACGTGGCATTTTTTCCCAGATGGACGAGCTGAGTATCAATCATCACCAAGTCTCTTTCTGGGTGTGTGTGTGTGTGTTTCTGGACCTCAGCCCAGACATCTCAATTGATCAAACTCTTTGTGTGTTGTGAGTGTGGCAACTGTGGCAAATGCTCTGTAAGCGAAAAAGCAGCGCTGCATCATGCTGTATCATGCTGATCCCTGCGCTGGCTGTTTGCTTGTTCTCTTCCTGCTTGCTGCGAACGATTACCTTTGTTGTAGCTTGATAGAAGATACAATGTTTGTCGTATTATATGTATGTTGTCCTTCACAGTATTGGAACACGCATGATACTTCCTGGCATTTGCTTGCGACGCCTCCTTCCAAAGCCGCCAACAGGAAGCTGAGGTTCAGAAGGGAAGCTGTTGGTTTGTATATATATATAACCAGATCAAATCTGTAACAATATCTTAGTCTTAGACTGCTTGACACAGGGTTTAATATCAAGAGCAACGCTTGAACGTCAATCCGTCTCAAGATAATCTCACAGTGTTAATGTCTCTAGACTGCTACACAAACAACATTCACATGCGCCATACACAGGTCGCATCACTACAAGAACAATCTAGAAAAGACAGATCAAACATAACAAGAGAAAACCACGTCAGACATCATCGTAAACGTGGTCGCTGAGCCTTGGTGTGCGACGTCACCTTTCTTGGCTTTATGATGCTTTATGGTCGAGGACTCAGCTGTTGAAGATGGCATGTCTTCTCTCAAGAGCAACTAGAATAAACATGAACAAAGACATGCCTCCTCAACAATCAGTGGACGATCCCGGACATGTACATGTTCACAAAGTTTGTTGAGTGTATCGAGTAGTTTTTTCCCAGTCAAAGTATTTCTTGCGTGTTCGGCCATGGCTCCAGCCATACCCTCGCAAGGCCATACCTTCGCAGTGACCCAACGATCTAGAACCGGGTACGGTACGTTTGGTGGGATCTCTTTTTTGGTCCATCGCACATTCTCCGGTTTTGGTTCTTTGCTTCAACAATCGATGCTCGGCCAGTCTTTCAGCACGTAGCAGCCCTGATCAGCTTTTTGGCTCCTGCTGACGGAGCAAGCTGACGGGGATTCGACGGACAGGAGTTCTTTGAGTTCGACGGCGGTTCGCCTTTTTTCCTCAAACGAAAGATTCAATCATCCTGATCAGTGCCTGGCGGATATTTGTGGTGGCCCATTGCCGGAATGTTGAGCCATACACTCCGCAGACTTGGTCAGTTTTTGCTTGTGTGATTGTTTGTTTCCTCATCAATTGCAAACAGGCTACAGTATGTAATCGGTAATTCTCAGCCAACAAATGTCAACTGTTTCCTTAGGAAAACCGTTGTCAGAGCTGATGATGTGTTTCCCTGGAAGTACTGCAGGCTTTGATGAATAATTTGATGGGCAAACCTGCGAAACTGGCCGTAAACCAAACAACTGAAACATTGATTTCGATCATCAGACAACAGAGTGATATCTCTCCTTGGTCAAACGAGTGGCAGTCTTTGGCAGTTGTTTTTTCCTGTTTCAACTGCCAGTCCTCAACCGGTTGACGCGTGGAAACGAGAACCAACCGTCGGACCATCAATCAACACAGGCGTTTGTCATGCATGATGACAGGCGTGCGTGTCATGCCTTTGTCAGTTGTCTCTACTTGTTGATCTTTTTCTGCTGGACAAATTTGGAGGAGATGGAAGAGCTGCTTCACGATGGATTTCATGCTTCGCTCAACATCTGGCATGTTTGGCTGAATTATATAACCTTTCTCCGCACTTATAGCATTGGGCATTCATGACATGGCAACGTTCCTTCATGCTGCTTTCTTATTGTTCCACCAATCTACCAATGAACCAACTTAAAATTGAATCCTATATATATATATATATATTTGGTGTGAGCGGAGCTTGCCTGATTGTGTTAATATATGACAAATGCATCCACTAACTAATTATCCAGGTTTGTTTCTTGGAGACCTGTTTTTTCAGCTTTTTGTTGGTTGGTCTAGTCAATCGAAGCTGGAAACTGCATGATCTGGAAAAACCTGAAAAACCGCCACCACTCCTTTGACCAAACCGCGTCCGACCGACCGTTCGCGACATGGAGCTCCGCACGTTGTTTCTCGACCCCAAAAAGAGTGCCAATTCGTCGGGTGTGGAGGTGCGAATTCGCCGAAGAAAAATATGGAGAGGGCTCCGGCCAACGAATTCTCATAAAAGAACAGGCGACATATGAAGATATTTATATTAAAAGCAGTCAGATGTTACTAATATGAAAATCACACATACGTATAACTCCTTTTTGATTTGTATGAAACATGTGGAACAATGGGTCAGACACACGCTGTTTTTTTCTTGATTCGGAACTGGTGTTGGGATGTTTCCTGCTCCTTAGCTCAAAATTGTTTAATCTTCATCTCGATCCGTGCCGTTCAAATCATCCATCTACAGTCTATTCACAAAGGACAACTGAAACAAATACAGGTGGTCAATGGACACCTCTAAAGGACCCTTAAAAAGGGTTGTAAAGGATCGTAAAGAATCCTAAAGATGTAAACACATCTCCCATCATCTCCCTTGGCACCTGTGTAGGTATCGAGTCCATGGCCCCCCCACTCCTGGAAACCGACACCGCTCGCTCGCCTCGTAGATGTAGAAAAGCTTCATTCGCTCGTTCGTGTCGACTGGGTCGCTCGGCGGCGAAGCCTTCGGCCTGGTATCAATCCAACTCCCGGGATACATTTGTGTGATACTGGAGTAAAGACCTCGTATGTGAACATGACTTCTATGTGTTGTGCTGGGATTTGATGCCATGTAGAATCTCTTGATTCAATCAAGCTACAACTTCTTGGAGCTTCTCAAAACTGGCTCAGAATGACTGCTTCAGCCCTCCAGATGACCCACTCAACAAGACTGATCTCGTGGAGCTTGCTTTGGGGTGGATTAGCAACATGAATGAAGTTCGCACTAGCCTTAGGTGTGAAAGCATGTGAACAAAAAGACATGGTTATATACTGTAATGCCCACAACTGGCCCAATCCTCCAGTCCTTCTTCTGGTGATCTAGTGATCTGTGGTGGTGTCAAGCTCATCAACGTGATAGACTTGGCTGTCCAATGTTCTTCTATGTTTGCTGAGAAACGCTCCATTTTGTCATTTTGTCATCATTCCTTTGTGCCATTTCATCAAGAGTCAAGAGTCCTCAGTTTTCTTCAGTCCTCAGTCAAGAATCCTCAGTCCTCAGTTGAAAGGCAACTTTGCATCTGATACGTCCAGGATGACTCGCTACGCTCCTCCCACGTGGTTCCCGGCCAGCGTTCTTTGCGTGATCAAACGCAGCAACTCTGAGAATTTCTGAGCGAACCAGGAGCTGATAGTCCATGTCGCATGGAGGGTCCACGGATTGTCAACCTGAACCTGTCCCAAGATGCAGTGTCACTTTAACATACTTTAACCCTGTTGGAGGCACGCACTTGAAACAGCATCTTGTGGCCAGGTCTGTCGGAGGAAGGAGGCCCAAAATCGATCTGAAGAACACATCTGTCGCAACCCGAGGGCCCCGACCTTCCACATCTGTCTGCGCTCACCGGGTGCGAACGGGCGAGCTTGGGTGACGGTCGAGTGGCGGAACGCCCGCCACGCGCGACGCCACTGGGGCAGTCGCATGGTTGCTTGGAGGATTTCCACCTGGAATTTGAGAACAGATGTCAGATGTTTTGAACATCTTGGAACATGTTATTCTTTGTATGTGTTTACTTTGTAGAAGTGCGGTGAACACATGTGTGTAGTTCTTACATGTTCATTTCCTTTCATCTAACCGAGACGGTCTGTGCCCCGGTCTGTTACAGGCTTCTTGCTTCTTCACGCCGGCTCGAGGAACCGGCGAAGTAGATCGCCAGTACAGCAGAGAAGTAGATTCATCTCCAGTATGCTGTACTGGGAACCTCAATAACGTGATTGTTGTATACTGGTTGCAAGTCTAATCAAAGTCTACACTAATTGAGGTTCCCAGTAGTATACAAGTCTAATCAAATTGCAAATTGCCTTTTCATAGGGGGAATGGAGATGGTGACATGGACACTTTTGTCCATTCCTTCAATTCTCATGTCCTACAGGGCCGGACAAAAAGTGGGGTTGGCGACTGTGGGAGCTTTGACTAGGGATCTAGCTCATTATTTGGTCTAATAGCACCCACCAACCTGAAGTGCCAATCAACGCTACATGGAATGCAGATGGTTCCGATTTAGTGGGTTTTATGGGACCATATTCGCACGAGGTATTATATGCGACCATTATATATGTTTAATTATAGAAGAACCAATGGCGGCGCACTTCAGCTTTTCCTCTTTCCATTCAAGAGTAGCGATCCACGGTCATTGGTTCTTGCAAGAGCGATTTGATCCTTCAGCCGGAAAACCAGGATCCCGTTCAACGGCTGAACTAAGAAAGAGTGTGTCAAGAACCAGGATCTACCAGGTCTCATATGGAGTGTGCGGGTTCTTTTTGTTTGCAGACAGCCAACCATACTAGCAAGTGAATGCCCAATAGCCAAATAGCAATGCCAATAGCCCCTGCGGAGCACCGACCTATTTTTCCCACCGACCTTGGTGGGTCAAGGCGATCGTGGCGATCGATTGGTGGGATCGGTGGACGTGAGACGTTGGTTTCGGGTGGTTACTGCGATGATTGGTTGGGGGTCCTTCGCACGGTTTGACATGTGAACATCTGTGAACATATGCGAACCATGTACTGCAGTGAAGCATCATTTAGTTAATCTTGACATGTGATGTGTTGAGAGCTTGGGGTCCAAGCTTGGCCTCGTTCAACCAGGTTGGCCCGTCAGGGATCACTGGGCAACCGGCACGGTGGTTCCACCGGTGGCGGGTGGATGGAGCATCGAGTGTGTCATCAAGCTCAAAGAGTGTAGACCTCTCTCTCGCAGTGTTGGTCCTCCAACCTCTGAGCCTCCAAAAGAATCTAGATCTTCCATGCTATCTTCAAAGTGCCGTAAGATGCTGTAGTTGACTACTCTTCCTTGCGAAAAGAGGGCCTGCGACCACGGGGGATGCCCAGTTGACACCTGCCCAGTTAACTACCGCTTCCGCCGCCCTTCCGCTTTGGACCAAATCCTCGCAGGGGCCCTGCCGTTGACTTCTGCGATTTGGGCTGTTCTGGCCCTTGGGCCCTGCACTGGCTCCCATCTAGGCCGATACGAACGCTGGCTCCGTGTTGGGTGTCCGTTTTCGGGGCCCACGGCCGCCGACGTGGCTGTTCCGCATCACGACTGTTGGTGGTCAGTTGAGACTCTTGTGATGCTGGCTCTTGGGTTCACACTGATCCATTCTGACCTCAGAGGCACAAACTCATTTCATCCTGTGAAGGTATCGCGTGGTGGTCTGAGAGTGGCTTGTTGGCTGAGAGTGTCATGTCTCATATGACAGTCTCACACCAGAAGGTTCCGTTGCACTTTAAAAAAAAACTGAAGGTTTAAACACTCTCCAACGGACCAAAGGAGTTCCACTTGTGCATGGGAAACCTGTATTTCAAAACGAAAATAATTTGTAATTTGGCACATCTTGATTGGGAGCAGTGTAGGTTTGGTTCTCTATATACAATATTACTTATTGCTATATATTATATATTATATAATGCACATATACTGTACGTATACAGCACACCAATCCATTCCTCAGAAATTCTTGCGGCCGGTCTATTTCTTAGGTTTGACCGCAGGGTCAAAGACTCACCTTTCCGGTTTGTGGACGCGAAGAGTGGCGCGCAGCTTCTGGCATCCTTCAGCTTCTGGCAGTTTATCCGTCTTTCATGACTCATGATAGTTCATGATCATCCGTTGAAATCCTTGGATTTGAGCGGCGATTGCTTGGCACCCGTCCGCAGCCAACTCTGGCACCCGTGGGTGCTTTTGCCTTCCGGTCTGGCAACAGAAGCTCCCCTGACCCCAGAGTTTTGGTCCAAAGTGAGCCAACCAACACATCCCAATCTCGATGGGAAAGGACGGGCGTCTCGCGCGTTTCGGGCCGCGAGGGTAGAGAAGGAACGGGAAGGTGGTGAACGAACGACGGGAAGTTGTTTGTTGCACAGCATCACAATTGCCACCTTTTGGGGGGAGTTATTGGATGTCTATGCAATGATGGGCAACAGTAATTAGGAGGATCGCGCTTGGCACCAAGCCATTAACTGCAAGCATTTTAGGGTCACCAGAGACTTGACAAGAGGACTTGGACGAAGCCCTTCCAGATGATGACGAGGGGGATGACTATGACCGCGATGAGGAGAGATGGCGGGGAGGAGGACAAACCAGGATAGAGTAGGACTACCGGATGGCAAGCCCTGCAAACATCTCCAAACCCATGCTAAGACGCACCGGTATCGGTATAGGTGCTCAATCCGCGTTTCCGACCGGAGCTAGCTTCATACGGATCCATTGAGTATGGCTGGCTGGGTCCAAGCTTGCCCTGAAAAGGCTCGAAGAGTCGCAAGAAGTCAGGACAGGCCTCATGATCATCCCTTCACTGGTGGCCCATCATGGCCCATCCTGATCATCCTTGCTGAGTCCGATTTTGGGGTTCCAACAGATTGGAACGATGTTGGAATCAATGGACCCGACCAATTCGCCACGGGGGCCATCCCGGATCAAGAGTTGTTTGGGCCATCAGCTGCCGGCCGGTGCAGCGCAAGTCGGTTGTTGCACAGCAATGGACAGAACGATAGGAATCCGTCATTCATGCTGAACATGATCTGATTCTTCCCTGGCTGTGCAGGTTCATCCTTAAAAGAAACTGCGTGATTCGAGGTCAGATCTTCCAATAAATTCAAAGATTTCCGTGCTACGATGCTCGTCTCGCGTGGTCGTCGCCTCATCGCCGAGGACTTTGATGGAGACTACCAGGGCGATGAAGCCTTCGAGCTCAAGGGCTCGGAAGACTTGGCCATGGACCGTGGCGCGGATGTGTGATGACGAAATACTATTTCTTTGTTTAAGAGACATTAATTGTATTTATAATTGTGTAGAATAGTAATTTAATAGATATTTGTTGTAATAGATAATAGTATTTTAATTGTGTAATGTCAACTATATCTCAAAGATCTCAAAGATTCCGCATGTGTTTTCTGTGTGTGTTCTTGCACAGGTACCGTATTGATTCCCTTTGAAAAGTTCGCACTAGCCAGATGGTTTCTAGGGAAAATATCACTTACTGTAACATACACAAGCTGGTAGCCCAAAATGAGGGTGATTCATGGTGATTCACCAGGCATTCAGAATGGTAAAATCGCCGCACAGCTCAAATGATGTTGGAAGCAAGGGGCGCTACCTTAACAGATCTAAAAGGCATTATGTCAGGAGAGATTGGTAAGGAATTTCACAGCCGAGCATGGCCCATGCTTTGCTCAGCCGAGTGTTCAAAAGTGTTTGGTTCAAAAAAGAGTCTTAGGGTTTGCGGTTGGTGGCAGCTCTTGGGCTGTACCTTGTGCAGCTGTACGTCGTAGTTGACGTAACTCTGGTCGTGCTTGGGCGCTTTTCAACGAGCATGTCCAACGAGCATTCTCACTCCCCCAAAGGATTTACGGCCATTGGACATGTTCCTCCACAGTGACACAGGGATTCCATAGGAAATTCCGTGTTTTAAATTTGGCAATCTTTGTGGACATATTTCTCTTCCAAGAAACAGTCAAAAAGTGCATGTGTTTTCATTGGGCAGGTACTTGATCAATTCAATCATTCACCTGGAAAGTCACCAGCCGTCATCAGCTAGCTTGAGATGTTTGCTGTCCCCCACCCACTATAGTTACTTGACTCAATGGCTGACCCTTTGCCAGCTCCAGGAGTACGACGTTTTCGGGAAGTATGTGAAGAGTGCACAAGTGGAGAACGGAAAGCCGGTCTTCTTGGGGTCACTGTGCCGCAGACGACGTTGATGTCGCGCTGTTTGAACGTTGGGAAAAGTCAAACATAATGTTTGTCTGTAGGTTTCTCCTCTTCCCTTGGGCGGTGGTCAAGAAATGTCAAGAAGAGACCCACACGGTTTTGGTCTACTAGTTACTATGGCCGATACTTTGATCCAATTCCTGCCCCCAAAGATGCTGATTTGGAATGCTTTGGAACTATAAAGAGCTAACTTGGACATCAGTTTTGGAACACTATTTAGCATTATGAGTTGTTCTCTCCTCAATGCGACATGTCTCTCCCATTCTCTCCCTATGTGACATGTGTAGATCATTCTTGTACTCAGACCATTTGGACCCTGACACCTTCCAACAGTGGAAAGGCCCTGAGGCCTTGTAAGACATATATACCTAAACTAAGATTTTCTAAGACACACCATCACCATCACCAAGATCACCATCACCATCCATCACCCTGTGAGCGAAGGACGCCTCCAGTCCCCCCGGACGCCTCCCGGACGCCGAGGGCGCGTGACCGAGGCCCAAGACCGAGGGCTCGCGCCCGTCCATCGCCTTCACAGACACCACGGGCGATGGGAAGCCCACCTGGTGGGTGTGTAACGCGCCGCTCGAGCCGAAAGGAGGTGCGAGCGCGTTGGGTGCCCCGCAATGTGAAGAGGGTGGTGAAGGGAATCAATGTGAAGAGGGGGGGGCACCTATTCTGAACATGTGTTCCATGTGTTCGCCTGTTTTCCGAGGAAAATCCGGTGTTTGTGGAAGTAACTAATCGTGGATTCTTCATGGTGTTAACTGCCTTTGGTATGGTTGACCTGCAAATCTCGATCAAGTGGGCGAGTTGCCCTGGTGAGTGGCCAAAAACAGTTTGTTTTTTCATGAATGAACCACGGGGTGCAGGGTGACCACCAACCAGAATACCACGGCGTACTCGTGCACACGAGGACAGGACGGGACAGGACTGATCCGGTTTGGCGGATTGAAGACATGTGGGGCATGGCCGAACGCTGGATTTGCTGGTCCAAGAGAATCACCATATGATGTATCATGATGTATCCAAATTTATGGACATGTACGGTAGTCTTGGGTTGGTCTTGGGATTTCTGAAACATGAATCTTGCTTGAAAAACGATAATACACTCACCGGGTTTAAACATCCTTCGCAGGACTGGACTTGAATCGTGCCTTTTGTTCCACTTGGCATGTGGCTCCAAACCTGGAGGGTGGGCTGCAGTTTGCATCATCGATCACACAGACAGTGTTGTGACACGTATACACATGTATGTATATGTATATATATATATATATCACATGCTACCATGAAACATAGTTAAGGTACTGTGTTTGCCTTGCATTGGTACTTGCTATTTAGTGAGGGCCCTTGGCTTTTTGAGCTATGCCTGGCTTTGTCGTGTGGACTGAGCGGCGGTTGCTACAAGATAGCGCAACTCAGGTGCTTTCCATTTTGGAAACTTAACTTGATTGGTTGATTTGTTCCTTTGCTTGCTCCAGGGCCAAGGCCAAAGTGAAAATACAATGAAATACATGTCTAGTCTAGCTTTGGTATGACCCAAGCTCGATCTCATGTATTCGATCGAGGAAGCCAGTGGGAAGAGAGGAGCAAGAATCACTAGCCGGGCAGACTTGCAAGAGCTCTTGGCGGTGAAAAGCTTTCTTGAGAAATCAAGAGCTGAGAGCGTGACAGAGCTCAAGGCATTGTGTCGAAGCGTGCACCACACCCTGAGGCTTGGCTTGCTTTTTTCAATCACTTTCTAAAGAAAGAGGAGGCACATCAAACGATAGCGCTGCAAAAGGCTTGTCCTAGAAAGATGAGCAAGCAAAAGGAAGACGTGGCAGGACTGAGGCTTTTTTTTCGCCAGCTGCTTGAGGATACACAAGAGGGTGGAGAATTGGTTGAGAAAGCTAGGGCAGCTTGCCCGGGAGTACCGCAAGTTACCAAAAAGATGGCATTAGAGAGTGATGGCTGTGCTTTAACAGCGCAACAGCGCCGGTGGTTAGAGTCACATGTACGAAGCAACTTGGATGCAAGTAACTATTGTCTAGATGCTTACCCACCAACACCCCTGGCTCAATGGCTCAAGTATTGCGGTGCAAAATTAGTCCCACCGCACCCATCCCTATGTTTTCCATCTCGGATCTCGGATCTCCCGGTCAAGTGCGCTCTGAAAGTCTTCAGCCCGCCCGCCCGAACCAGTATTTAAGCCGTCTCATTCCCCGGTCAGTGGAGCCCATTGCCGCGTGAAGTGAGTCAGCCATACATTGCAAGAACTGGAGAAAATGCAACAAAGCGCCTAAAGGCAGAGATTACAGAGGAAGAGCCACCAGCTGCTTCGAGTAGCGCTCGAGGCTACCAACCGCTTGACCAGAGTTTGCCAAGACAGGCTGCTCGTCACACAGCAGAGATTGTTGACCTTTTGTCGAGGTTCGCCTCTGACAAGGATGTGGCGCAGGTTCTCTCACTGGCGCTGGAGAAGTCAGGCAAGAAGTGGCCTGATTTGTAAGAACTGCTGCGATCGCAGCTCACCCAGACTTTAGATTGCCCTCGTTGTGAGAAAGTGTTGCAAGGCCTCCAATCTTCACCGAGGTTCGACGCACCATTCCCTGATGCCACCACGCTTCGGATTAGAGATCGGGGCAAAGACGTTGGCAACAGTCTCCGCAAGAGGAGGCAATCCAGAGACTGCCTAGAGGCAGGCCAAGTAAAAAGGATGACCCACAAGTCATTGCGAAAGTGCTCGCCATGCTGTCTTTCCCACGCCCAAGTTAGCAGTCGCATTTGCTTTGACAGGAATAAAGAGGAATGGGTGCAAGTCAGGACATTGACCAGAGATGTGACCAGCATTTGGAATGGAAGGCCCGGGGAAGTTGAGAACATCTCCATTGCCACAATGCGCACGGTTATGAGGCAGCACCTGTGTCAGTTCGAACCTGCTTGGGTCGAAAGCGACATGTGTGTGTACTGCGTTGACCTGAAGCAGAAGGTCCTCCCCGAAGCCAAGCGGCTGGTGAAAAGGATCAGAGACAAGTTGGAAGAATTCATGCCTGGGTATTTTGCAAGGTTTGACGATTACGCTGCAACCGCCAGCGTGGCAGATCGCCCTGGTCTGGAGCTTCGGGAGGTCCGCCATTTCATTGAAAACCACAGCGAGCAGCGTCCATGCCCAAAGCACCGCGGCACAGGTTTTCCAAGGCTTCGTGTGGGCCTTAATTCTGTGGAGGCGCAGGCTATAGGTGTCAAGCTTCAGGCAATGTCCAAACTCTTGGATGGATATATTTTCCATCGTGCAGCCAACGAACACCCGAAGGCTAATTTGGGGACGCTGCTGGAAGAACCGCAGGTGGGGTACCTTTTTGTTCTCAGTGACTGGAAGGAACTGTTCACGCTGCCTGCTCGAGCGACCCGAACAGGGGAATCATTTTTACGCTAACAGCTGCATGGAGATATCCATTTCGGGCTCTGTCTCTGTGCTTGCTGAGAGAGCATCCAATGATTCTGCAGAAGTGCTGACTACATATTACATATGTTTTGATTTTGAGTTCCATGTTGGATCATACATCAGCTCGTTCTTGCCAGTGCTTGGAGCTTGCAATGAAGCAATGAAGCAAAGAAGGGGGTTCGGAAACGCGGAAGTCATCAACCTGGTTTCTGACAGTGGGCAACTGCTTGAAGTTTGCTGTTGCTGTTCAGCAGCAAGCAGAAGTTAGAACGCACTGGGAAGTCTGCAGCCGATCGATTGTTTAGTTTGTTTGCAACGTTCATGAAAATTGCACATGCCCGGCAAGTAGACATCATCGAGCTCAGTCAGTTGAGAGATTTTCTGGTGAACGTCAACAAAGAGCAAAGAGCTTGAGATCCAGCTCCACTCTTGGCAGTGCTGCTGGATACTGACCGCAAAAAGATACTAGCAAGTGAACGGTTCAAACTGAGAGCAGAAGGGTTTTCCATCACCAAGTCCTACTGTGTAAGTACTGCGCCAGCGCTTGGAAGGACGCGGTTCGGTGTCAAAGTCTTTGATCATGTTTCTCCTCCATGCAGACTTCAGTGGATCTGACCTCCAGCTTGGAGTTGACAGCAACAGATGACACTGCCCCTGAATTCATGGCTACTGGACTGAAGCAGGGAGAGGTCGGTGGGACACGAACCCCAAGCCTTTGTGCCGGGATGAGAACAACATTCTCACCGCATGGTGAAACACCTCCCTTTGCTTCCTGATGGGCCTGATGGAACCTCCCGAGAGATCGATGTAGATGCTCTAGTGGCACTGAAAAAGATTGAACACAATCCATTGAACAAAAAATAGGTGCGCAACCAAAAAAGGAAGCGCTGGAAAATGCTTCTGAAAACGAATCCAGCTCCTCAACAAGCAGCTCAGAGAGCAGCTCCTGAACATTGTGTCACGTGTCCATCGGTGTAAAGCAGACCACGAATGGCCAAACCTGAAAAACGATGGTACACTCACCAAATTGCCATGACCTTAGCCCACATAACAAACTTTGACAGTACCTCATATCTAGGAGATACCAGCTGTTGGATCTGGCTAGCTGCTAGCTGATCCAAGAGACTCACACTCTACCTATTTTCTAGCTTATAACGTAGTTGCTTCAATTCCGATCTGGAACACCGGACCCGAGATCTTCCACCGTCTACGACTCTCGTTTTTCCTTCTTCCCCGCGGTCTCTCGATCGCCGGGAACGGCCGAGGTCCGGGGGGGAGTGTTTCTACGCCGAGTCGGACACGGACGTGCCTCCGAGGCGTCGAACGGCGGCGTGCCGTAGAATACGGGGTTCCTGCCCTGTCAAATACGGGGTGCTTTGTGAGATGATGTGAGATGTGTCCATTTTTTTTTTAAAGAGGGCCCACGAAAAGAGGGGATACAATGGAATACCACATGATACAATTGTATTTTCGGGGTGTCCATGAACCACCCGGACAGTGGGTTCTGGTGAATGTTTGGATTTTGTTGAATGCATGGAGTGTGTTTTCATCAAACGTCCACTTGGGTTTTAGGGACGGCTGGTGTCAAAGTTGTGTGTTGAAGAGAGTTGGATTGAAGGCATCTTTCGGGAGGGTTTCAAGAAATACACATCCACCAAATCTGTACAGTATTAATCAATTTTCAAATTGATATTGTTGGAGCAGCTTCCTCCAGCCAGGACTGGCTGGCGCACAGAGTACGGCGGTGAACTGGAGGTGGTACTGGAAGCCTGTCAGGTGGGGCGGAGGTTCTGGTTGGATCTGGTTCTGGTCGGCCAAGTAAGATGTTTCACAAGATTCTGGTTTGGGTTGTGGTCTGAAATTTTTCCTTGCTCCATATTTGCTATGATACTATCTTACTCAGGATATGGACTCTTGCGGACGATCCCAGATGTTGCGTACGGACATATGGTGGGATACTGCGGAGCGACCGATGGAGGAAGGGAGTTTGGGAGCGACCGCTGAAAGCGGGAGGTGCGAGTGACGAGTGAAAGGCAGAGTTCAGAGGAACACACTCCGCGAGCCCCGCACTTGGTGTTTTACCAGACAGAAGCATTCAGAGAAGAACGAACTGTGTTGTTTTGTTGCCTGAACAGCCAACGCTCCGAAAGCACGACCTCTGGGTCAGTTGGGATCTCATTGGAGCTGGAGCTGGTCGGGACCAATACGACTCAATGAGGTTTTTTCAGGACGGGATTTGACTGGGTCAGCATGTCTACGGCCATATGATTCTACCTGCATACCTAGAAAGGAATTTCTGGCTTCCAAGAATAAGAAGACCAGTTCCTGCTGAAGGGCCGGCTCAAATTGGCACCAATTTTGCGGGTGATGGGGCAAAATATTTCAAAATACAACCTTCACCAGATCCCACAAGAACACACGGCCGAAGAAATAGCATGGCAATACATGAGTCGAAGGCAACCACGCATGCAGATGCGCATACCACCTGAAAAATAATCGCTGCGGCAAATCGCAAATCGCTCAACTTCAAGCTGTTTGGGTTTGGCTTCGGATCCTCGACACATGGGTTTTCATGGTTCCTCGATGATCCAGTTGGTCAGTGCTTGGGACGTGGGCGTCGTGGGCGTCCCACCGGCCACGGAAGGGACCCAGGGAGATGTTGCAATCCTCAGTCACTTCAGACCGCATCGCCACATGACCGACGCTCCAAACAGCTGAAGTACCGGTCATGTTGCTTGGACTGTTTGGACTGTTTGGACTTCTTTGCCTGCAAAACAATCACTGAGTTCACCCTGGGCGAGGCGGCGAGGCCATCCCCTTCCATGTTTGGAGGGATGGTAAGTTACCAAAGACCAAAGGAAGACTGATCTCCTTCCGGTCTTCCCCTGATGAGTCATGTGAGGGCACGGTTTGTTGCAATGTTATATACAGTACTTAAGCGATCTCCTCCTCTTCATATGCAGCACCATCCATCCAACGCTGAAAACCAGCCATCCAGATCTTCTCTACAGCCAGGCATCGGACGAGAAGAAGGAGCCGACTCAATCACGCGACATCGGCTGTCCCCAAACGGGATGAAAAGGCTTTGGAAGAAGCGCTGCGGTGCCCGCAAGGGTGTCCTAAGTCATGGTGTTCCTTTCTTTTGCAGTTTTCTTTTCGCATGCCGAACAAGAACTGTCTTTTTGGTGTTTGATTACATCTTTTATTACTTTGTGTTCACGGTTTTCTAAAAGTGTCTAAAAAGACACCTGACACAGTGGTGTTCACGTGTGTTCACCATTCAAGCACCTCATTACTGTTTTGTTTGGTGATCAATTGTTGTTGTCGTCTTCGCCGCTTCTGGACTTCTGGCCGCCTCCCCTTCGATTCGTCGCTGCATGCCAGGAGTGTCGTTCGCGCTCGCGCAGTCCGCGCGGGAAGTGCCCGTGGTAACTGTGAAGTCCTGAGAGGACGGCGACGGCAGGTGGCGACCGACCGCGAAGGAAAGCTTCGTATAAAAGACGACTGGGTGTCATGTGCCTAGTCGTAGTTGAAGCTAAAACGTTTATTGAACATGTTCATAGTGGGAAGCCACACTTTGACTTGTCGGCGGCTTAAGCTACTCAAGGTTGGCAGCACTGATGATCAAGGATGTAGGCCATATATTTGACGGGCCGTGTTGGGCTGGTTGGCTAAGTCAACCAAAGTTGCAACGGCCACCGAGGTTTATCAACCTGTAGAACATGCAGTACATTCGCATTGTCCGGAAGTTTATTCTGCCGGAGCCCCAGCAAGTGGGTCAAGAGTTCTTCACGCTCACACTTGGTCAAAATTGGCGGAGATCCTATGATTGACTTATAAAACTTGATGGTTACTGACTGGATTTGGACTCTGCAAGTCTGAAAGCTAACCCATTGGATTTGGCACTTGAATCCTTCCTTTCCACTGTGCCTCCCGGAGTTTCACGATGGCTGTGTGGAATCAACATCAACAGTGGGCTCAGTGGCTCGCAGAACTGTCTCCTCTTCGACCTCTTGCAGCGGAGCCTCGCAACTCTTGAGGCTCCATTGGCGGCAGCAAAGCAGCCTAGTTCCACCCACATGCCGCTTAATAAGTAGAAACTGCAGATGTGCGTTAAAACAAATACGTTGCGTAAAACACCCTCTTATGACAGTAATCATCAGTAATCTATTACAGTAATCTATCAAGTTTTTCAGCAAAGCTTGAGCAGCACACTGGTAGAATGTGAAACGACCTTCCCTCGCCCCTTATCTGCGCCACGCGCGCCGCGCCTGCACCGCGCGGACGGCGCCAGGCACCAATGAGAGATTTGAATCCTTGGGCACAAGTCCCAGGTGTTTGTTGATGAGAAAATCCTGCACGTGTGTGGCATGAGTCATGAGATGTAGGTTTTACTGTAGACTAATTAGTAGACCTTGTAGATCAGTCGCAGACATTCACATCGCCTCCAGGCATGTGCAATCGGCTGCTTGGGCAGCTGCAGTGATAACATAGAATTAACCGCCCGTGATCCTGCGGTCGAAGCAAGGTGGCCAAGGTTTCAGTCATGCTAATGCAGGGCCCAATGTTTGCGCCCAGCACCAGTATTCACAGCGATGGTTCAGACATGATGGTCAAATTTATTCATGAACAAGTCGACCCACCAACCTCACCAGATTCAGATATATAATCAGAACTTCGAAGTCGCACATCTGTTGGGCATGAGAACATGTCCAGATGAATGACAGATGTTACATGATGTTACCCTTTTGTTTCCGCGGGAGGCATCACTCTTTCCCTCATGTTTTGGAGATGCCATGGCGACCAGAGAACTCTGGCAAAAATGGCACTCGCATCACTACGAAGAGGCGGTCACTGAAGTGCGGTGCCCCAAACGCGTCGCCGTTCGGCGCCCTGTCGACGGTGCTGACGGTGCTGGGCCCTCTAGCAAAACCGGTCGCATGCGGCGCTGTTGGTTCAGTTCACAGGCTGATGTTCGGCGCCCACTTTTGTGGCGACGTGTTGGAACCCGAGGGCGTTGGGGGATTGGAACTAATTGAAACATATCCAGTGTTGGTCTTCGCTGTTCTGGGCATGTGGTGTATTCATCTCACAGGTTGTTGGAGCTTCTAACTCCTTTCGAAACACATGACATGAACATGGAATAGAATCCTTATTTTTCGGTAGAGGAAATCATTATTGTATGACTGTATGAAAGGAAATACAAGGAAATCACGGAAACGATTGAAGACTTGTTTCACTCACGTCCTCTCAGAGCCAGAAAAATGGTGTGCAATGCACACAAATAGGTGCCCATGCACCCATTTGATTCAAACCCAGATGGGTGTCCGATGCCTCAGGTTTGCACCTTGCTGGAGGCACGCGCAGTCGAAAAACAGGTCACTCCGTGGCGATGCGAGACATGGCCGGTTTGCACATTCGGTTCGGCCAGGTCCGTTTGTTACAAATTCCTGACCAGTCTGAAGAAGCTTCCACTACTTCTCAGCTTTGGCAGTCCATTCATGACTTGCTTCACACACGCATCCACGCAATCGCACAGGTGCATGAGCAAGCCTTCGCTTCAGACCAGGAGCTGCTCAACGCTGCAAGTGATCTGGGCCAGCAACCTGGCTGCAGCCATGAATGGACCCTTGGAAGCCTCCTGTGTCTCTAGGCTGTGGGTCGAAGCAAAACACATCATGTCACAGTCGATTCAGATGGTTTCAGATGGCACGATCCCCAATGAGTTTAGTGCTTGATATATTCAATTTTTTATTGACCCAGCATGGGGCCTGTTGGCCCTGTCGTCAGGCCTGGGGCCACGCCTTCGCCGGGCCTCGGCAGAGAGGACTTGGCCCTCTTCGGCGCCGCGTGTTGCAACCGCTTGGCCGAGCAGCAGCGGAGCGACTGGCGGCAGAGCGCCCACTGGTGCGCGTTGGCGCGGCAGTTCGAAGGTGCAGTGGGACTGGGACTGGCCTGGGACTGGCGATGTGTGGAGTGGGTGATATTAAGCCGTCGCCTTTTGTGACTCCCCCAGTGGCCACGCAGTGAGGATCAAGCATGGACACGGGCATCGTGGCCACGCTGATAGTGATCATGTGTTGGACCACGTTGACCGTGCAATCTCTGCAGGTTGTTTTTGAATCGCGGCGACCGAGCACGACTTCCTGAGTTCCATGATCGAACATCCGAATCAGTCAACAAGTGAGAGTTCAATACATCTAAAATCCTTGCTTTTGTGGATAACAAGCTCTACCAGGAGTGGATTTTGAGGCACCACTTGGGCTCTCAAGCAAGCTTCAGGTCTCACAGATTTTTCTATATCGTGATCTAATTATATGTGTTCCTTCTTGCTCACAGTTTATTATTTTTGTTAAAGGAAAAGGTCTTCATCTACCTGTCCTTCTACCAGAGACCTGTCCTCCAAACTGGTCTACGGTCTAGCAGACTCCAATTCAGCTCCTGAGGCCACGGGTCACTCCACCTGGACGGGCCGGGCCCCGAGCGCCCGCCGGGCCGAGCCTGCCAGGACGGGTCACCGGTGGTGTCGCTTTTCTTGGAGAACAATAAACAGTGCTGATACCAACGTGTGGAATGTATTAGAACAACACTATGATTCATTAATATTCATTCATTTATAGTTCATGTTGTTGAAGAGTGAGTGTACAGTAAATTTACAACCTGTGCAAAACCCTTTGTCTCAGCGGGGGGCATGACATCGGATGATCGGTTTCTCGTTTTTGAGAACAGCTCCGATGGACCCCGATCTATGGGCTTTTTCAACCGGCGTTTCTTTGGAAGCTGCTGCTAACCAATCTGAAGGTCACAAACAGCATGTTGAACACCCTAAACAATTTCATGGACGTTTGGACTTCCCAACCCTGCATAACCCTGCGCCATTTTTCACGCTGCTCCCCAAATCTGGGCACCGGGTTATAATATATAGAGGCTAGATCGGTCGGAGATATATCGGTCCCCACCAAAAAGAATACCTTCCATCTGGAGATCGATCCTCATCCGTCCTCGGAGGCTGCCTGGGCCACCAGCCGCTTCCAGCGGCTGTTCACTGTCGCGGAGGCCGCGCGCGCGGCGGCCAAGGCGGCCAAGGCAACGTCAACGGAGACGGCGCAGTGGGACCTGCAGACGTCAGAGATGCTTGGAGGATGGAGAGGGGAGAGGTGCTGTCAGCATGGATTTGGAGGAATCCACTAGGCATCCCCATTCTGCATAAGGCAAGCACAACACGAAAACTGGAACTTGGTCTATCAAAACTGAATCAACAAAGTGTTCCAGAGAATACAAAGCATACCAAAGCGTAATTGTGTTGACGACCATTGTCCATAGTCTTCAACCATTCTTCAACCATGAAACATGATATGTTTGAAAGCCTTTCTTAGCTGACCACCAGCGGGTTCTCCGAATTGAAGTCTGGTTGATAGTGGTCAGGGACCAACGGGACCAACGGGGCCTAGAGGCACTGGGACACCTGAAACATTCAGGAGAACTACGGTGACCTAGTATCGCTCGCTAGTTTGAACCATTTTCACCAGTGACCTAGAACTATCATTAGGGGCTTCTTTGGACACTTCACAAGAGTTTCTACTTTGACCTTCCACCTGCCTTGCTTTGCTGCTTCGACACCCGAGCTAGACCACTGTTCGCCCCGGTTACTGCACTGTTCGGTTTCCGGTGAGATGGATGACCTACGCCCCAACGGTTGATTGATGGGACGGGGATACACCCCCCAAAGATTGAATCTGGTGACTTGAGCCTTTTTCTCTAAGCACTTGGTCCTTTTTACTTTGAGTTGTTGAAGATGTCTTATTTACGTTTATAATTGTTATTTGAATTTCTCAGCCATTGGCTGGTTTGCGTGTTTTGTTGGGCTTGTGCTGTGGTTATACATCTCCAAAGGCATGTTGTTTATTTCCACAGGTGGGGGTTGTGCATCAGTGTATGCCGCATGTACAAACATGTATAACAGTAACAGTATTTACTTTTGTTTTTTCTAGCGGGCCAGTCATACATACATTTGTGCATTATATTTGAGTCACGGAGTGCGAACACGGTCTTTTCAGAGCATAAAAATGAGTTTTCAGTAAGCGGCATAGTATGGCTTCATGGATTGGATTCATGGTCTATGAGTCTATGACCTTCAACTTCAACCTCAAAGAGTGAGTGAAGAGTGAACAGTATCTCTTCCACTCCCCCTTGCTGGATTTCCAGCAGCGCTGACCCTTCAGCCTTCAAAATGTTACATTGACATGGACAATTATATAATCATTCGATTCGCTGTCCGATGCAGTCCTTCGGACTTCACGCGACCCAAGAAAGAGCCAGCGCAAAAGAGGAGCCGATCGCGCCGATGGTAGCCACGTAAGGGGGTCCACATACAGGGGGTCCATGTAAGGAGGGCCAACGTAAAGAGCTAGGTAGGGTCCACGTAAGAGGGTCCACGTAAGGGGCTCCACGTATGGAGGGTCCACGCGTGGAGGGTCCATGTACAGGGACGTCTAGGAAAGGAGTCCACCTAGCTAGGGGAAGGGTCCACGTAAGGAACGCAAGTAGGGTGTGTTGTTATAAGAGGGTCCACCTAGCTAGGTCGATGTAAGAGGGTCCACGTAAGGGCTCCACGTAGGATGGGGCGGGTAGGGTCCACTAGGGTCCAAAGGGCTCCACGTGGGACGGAGGGGGTCCACATAACTGTCCATGCACGGATAGGTCCACGTAAGGAAATTTGATTTAGAGAGTCCTGCTAAAAGTGGAGGGCCCTTCTCACAAGGTCGTCACAATGGTATAGTTGCAGCTAGCAGCATTTATGATTAGCCAATGCTAATGATGTTGATTGAATCCAAGTAGCTGCAGTAGAGGCAGCTCCAGAGAGAAGTCAGTTCCACGCAGGGCGTCGCACAGTGCTAGTAGGTTGCAGCCAGCGTAGCCTGTTTAGAGGCAGCCAGCCAGTAGAGCCAGGCGCCGCAGGGGGTAGACAGCCAGACAGTCCGCTAGACAGCGCAAATGAGGCAGGCAGAGGGTATGCAAAGCAGGCGCCTTTGCAGAACACTGTGTATATAAGGTTGCGTATAAAATGTGTGCCCCCTGTACATTCCTACAGAACTGTGGGTTCTCAAGTTGTTTTTG